GGGGGCCTCTGTCCATAGGACAACAATCAGTCGTATACTGCATTTAAAACAGCCAATGAAAGAAGCATAATGAAAAATACAAGAAGAACATAATGTAGTGAAGAGAGAATGTATGCTACATGGGAGCTGTGTGTGCAAATATTCAGCAGCGAGTGTGCAATTATGCATGTGCACACTGAGTGTGTAAACAGTACAGGTGGAATTCCATGAGATAGTTCCTGAGTCAGCTGTTTAGGAGTGATGGCAGATGGAAAGAAAGAGTTTTTCTAGTGTAGAGGTCCTGCATTTCACACTCCTGTACCTCCAGCCCAATGATAGAGGTGTGAACTATCCATGCTGGGGGTGGGTGGGATCTTTGAGGATGGAGGCAGCTTTCCTACGCCCCCTGTGGTGGTAAATGCTCTGCAGAGAGGGCAGTGGAGTCCTGGTGATCTTCTCAACAGTCTTTACCACTCTCTGCAGGCGCTACTATTATCTCCTTCGTCTTGTCCGTGTTGAGGCTGAGATTATTGTCCTTGCACCATTACACCAGACCAGTCACCTCCCTTCTGTAGGCTGCTTCATCCCCGCCAGTGATGCGACCTATCACTGTGGTGTCATTGCGAACAAGAACAATGATGTTGTCCTTGTGGGAGGCGACACAAGGTCCTCACTGATGAAGACGCCCAGGTATTTGAAGCTGCTCACCCTCTCTACTTCGAGCCCTTGGATGAACAGTGGCTGATGAGATCTACTCACCTTCCTCATGTCCACTATCATCTCCTTTGTGCCTGTCCGTGTTGAGGCTGGGATTATTGTCCTTGCACCATGACACCAGACCGGTCACCTCCCTCCTGTAGGGTGCTTCTTCCCTGCCAGTGATGTGACCTATCACTGCGGTGCCATCCACAAACTTTAGGATGATGTTGTCTTTGTGGGAGGCGACACAGTCGTGGGTGAACAGGGTGTAGAGCAGGTGCCTTATGACCTTGTTGACTTGCCTTCACTCCTATACCCACATAGAACTTCTATTGGTGTTAGTGATAATATAATTACAGACTCACTGGAAGTGTTAATAGTCTTCTTCAACAGTGTCAGTGGTTGGACAACTGAGTGGACCCAGCTCTCAGAGGTGCCTGCCACTACAAGCCAGTTGGGCTTGCATAACTGAATCTTAGTGATACAGTAGCCTATAAGCTTTATCATAGAAGTTTGTACACTATTTGAAAAATCATATTAAAAGTGAAATATTCTTTAAATTTATGTTGATGCAATCCTTGCTAGTGGTGGTGGTGATGTATGTTCATTCTGACTCGCTGCCATCCTTGGCCAGGCTGATTGAGTAAAAGGTCTTTGACTGAAAAGCCATGCTCATAATTTATTCCTCCCTTCTGGTTTGTGCCAAGCAGGGACTAAAAAAAGCCAAGTCAGAGTTTAACCTCTAGAGTCCCTGCGTCCTCATATGAGGACCGCACAGCTTGGGTTTCCAAAGCTCAGGACTCTAGAGGTTAAATTAGTACCCCATGCTTACTCAGCTCTTTCACACCTTCTGTTGATGAATGGGGGAAAAGATTGTTCTCCATCAATAAACATGATTTTAATAAAGATATAAAGGCTATTCAGACTCATCTGACATCTGCATATTGTGTAGCTCAACACTATGAGGAAGTAGAGGCTTTATAAAATTCTGTTTATGGAAGTCAGGCAATAAATGATAATCACATTTTACCCATTGCCTTACTGGCCTTTATTAATATTCAGCTCTATGTTATAGTTTAATGACCATGGGCATAGCAGGGCAGAGGAGACTATAACTCCTAATCTGAATCATCCCAATTAAAAAAAAGAGTTCCTTCACAGTCTTTCTATTCATACCTGTCCATTTTAATGATCATTGAACTATCCCAGTCTGGTGTCAATATACCCATTGTTGTACCACAGTCGAGCAGCAGCCATTTTTATAAGCAGCAATAAACTCAATAGGCCCATTTTAAATCACCAATTTATGGTCGTTTTGAATTATAGGCTTCTCTGATGTGCAGTGACCTGTTCAGCTTGTCTAATGGCCCTAACACTGAGTCGGTGAATCTTCTGTTTCCCAGGAGGAGGCTTTCACCACTGCTCCAGTGACAGGGGAGGGGGCTTTTGTGCCTATGCTGACATTAGTCTGGCCATCAAGGTACGACTGTTGTTGTTCACAGCTGAAGCTCATGGGAAGCATTGATGTGCAGCCTCCCTAGTAGTCAGACTCAGTTAGAGGCCTCTTCTGATTAAAGTAACACTAACTGTTGAAAAAAGGACTAACTTAAGTTATTAAGGCAAGAGTGCTCACACAGCATGTTTAAACAGAACACCGGAGCTGGTGTATTCATAAGCATAAGCATAACTTTATTGCCAAGCATTATTAAAAATACAAGGAATCTGACTCCAACCCAGTGGCCCCCGATGTGCACATTCACTGACAACTCCAATTAGGTTAAGGTCAATGAAAAGAAAAGCCGCATTATTTTTAGCCATTTTACTTTGTACAGCTGATGAACAGTGGTAATCTGCTGTCAGTATTTCTCTTGTTGCTGCCAGTCATGACACATTCTGATGATACATTGTACAGTGTGGTGCTGCCAGACCTTGATAAGCCTTGTACGTGCACAGTATTTATATACAATAGGCCTATATTATATGCAGTTTGTGGCTTCCATTCAGGTCATTGTGTCTACAGAATGTGATAGCTCATCTGTACTATATTGTTATGTTGTTGTCTTTGTACTTGAGCAAGTGCACTGAACTAACCTAGGACCACCGACCAAATTTTTTACCTGCCAGAAATCCATCCAGTTGGTCAGGAGCTAGATCATTGGTCGTTCTGCTGATTAACTGGGCGCCAGGACCCTGCTCACACTGTACATCTGAATTTCAGGCCCAATTCTAGCCGTGGGTGACTGCATCGTGTCTGAAATTGGGCCAAATCTGTATAGTGTCTGCTCAGCTTAAAGCATGGGCCTTACAATATATTTATCTAAGCTAACCCCCTCCACACATGAATGGTGTAATTAAAACTTAATATAGCTTATTCATCTAACTTATAATGTACTTGTCATCCAAATACACAAATTATGTTCCTTCATTTTCCTGAATACAGGCACTCTGGTTTTTTCTCTTGAGTCATTCCCATTATCCTGCTGCCAGAAATACTCACTAGAAGTGTGCAGTAATCCACCACTAAAACTAGTCCTCAACAAATGTAAAAACTGCACTGCCCAACGTTTTGAGTATGAGCTTTAACAGGTCTTTTGTGAATATTTTAGTTTCATTTCAAATGCAATTTCATCACAGAAGTAAACATTTTACTTTAAAATCCCTTAGGGAATATCTACAGTAAATAGTGAATGTCTTTTCTTTAGAAAGAAAGCAAATATTTTCTCATTTATCTTTCAGTTTCTGTTTGAGAGAGTGGAAGGGATCTCCAGGGCTACCATTATTGATCTGGATGCTCATCAGGTGAGCCAGTACTATTACCTTTCTCTGAATCAATGTGCATTGCTGTTTAGAAGCTGGCATTGATAATAAGATGACCCTGCCTTTACCTCCACACCAATCAGTGAGGCTCCCTGTGGGCCAAACTGGCCCTTATTATCATATGTAGTGGAATGCATATTAAAACATCTCCACTGGCAAACATCTGAGTGCCTGCAGGCCTGGGATAATAATACTGTGATATCTGCAGTAATATCATGTACTTTTGGCTTATTAATACAGTAAAACAAGAAACTATTTGTCATTTTTTATAGCAGTGCCATAAATGCTACACTCACATTTTCAATATTGTTAATATGTATATGGCATGCAGATTCACAACTTCTTAAAAGTATTTAAAAAAAAATGCTGAACTTAATGACATAAGATGAGTAAACACATTCTACAGTGGATTCAGAAAGTAGTCAGAACCCTGTTTTTGCACATTTTGTTGTGCTGTGGATTCAATTTTGAATGGATACAGCTGCCACTTTTAGCCATCATCATCAGCCATGATGACAGTGTGAAACCATGATCATGGATTTGTTTGAAATTAATCTAGAATCAAACACTGCAATCTTTTATTCTCAAAAGTATTCAGACCCTTTTTTGTGGCACTCTTGTTTCTGATCAGGTGCATATTGTTTGCTTTGTTGATCCTTCAGATGTGACTAGAACTCAACTGGAGTGCACCTGTTGCAAATTGAATTGATTGGGCATAGATGGAAAGGGGCAGCATGGTGGCGCTGTCTCCTCGCAGAAAAAAGGTTCTGGGTTCGAGCCACAGCCACCTTCCCGTATCTTACCTTAAACAATGGTATATGTACCGATGAAAAGAGATGTGTAACACTCTAAACAAAGTGGGTAATTGAGAAACCCCATATTTTAACTGGCATAATGCAGACAGAGGAACTTCTCCAGGCTATACAGTAAATACTGTTATATGTGAAACTGGTTCCTCAGGGTAACAAGAAAATACAGACAGTCACTGATCCAGCATGCTGATTGTTAACATATAGTTACAGCATGTAACTTCCTATAAAGTCACAAATGACTTTTACATTTCTGATTCTTTACACAGTAAATCAGTGAGATACAACAGTTATTTAGTTAGTTTTAGAAGCATTTTTGAACTCTTGACAGGGTCAGGCAATCTGTTTACTCCAGCTTCCAGTCCTTATGCTAAGCTAAAACGTATTGCCTCTCAAACATACACGAGACAGCTTGTTCTATACATCCTCCTTTTCATCCAGTTTGTTTTCACAGTACCTAATCTCCTCCTGACAGCAGCCAGACACTTTGGGTGACAAATGGAAGGAAGGAAATGAAAAGTGATGGAGTAGCCATGATTTTTTATTGGGTATTTCTAACATTTAATGTCTACAGATGACAAGACTATTTAGCCCTCATCTGGCGCTGTAAGTCGGCATAGAATGTCTCAGAGAGGAGTCACACCTGCGTGTATGTTGGCACAATCAAGTGATGTACTGTAGTTGACCACCAAAACATAAGTTATTAGATGCCTTATATTACACATCAATGAGGCATCTTCATGGGTGGAAAACCAGTTTGATTGATTGATTGAGTCAGTTTGTCATTGTTGGATGATGATTAAAGAAACAGATGGTATGAAAGCTGTGCTTCTGCTCTGTTATAGGGAAATGGACATGAGCGTGACTTCTTGGATGACAAGCGAGTGTACATCATGGATATGTATAACCGCTACATCTATCCTGGGGACGGATATGCCAAAAGTGAGTGAAAACACCATGCTTTTTTTTTTGTTCAAACATAGGTCAAAGGTCAAGGTCAAAATGTTTATTTGTCATATGCACAGTTAGGAAACGTGTTTCCCTGTACAATGAAATTCTTACTTTGCCGTCCACATGAATGCCACAAAATACAAATGAAATATAAAGTAGATAAATAAGTAACACAAAATCTAAGGCACTTTAAAACAGCAAATGAAGAGATATAATAAAAATATATAAGAATATAATAAGAGAATATATGCTGCATGGGAGCAGCATGTGCAGCAGTCAACAGTCATGGAGGCAGCTAACATAGTTTTTACCTTTAATATCATATTAATTTTGCTCATCATTAGATCTTTTTGCAGTTTTTCTGTTCTCGTGCACTTACATGTGATGCATTCTGCCAACAAAATATGCCTTGCTGGTGGTTGTGATAGGAG